GCCTTTCAGTGTCCTCCTCAGTCCCCTTCTCCATCTCCTGTCTCCTCCCCCAACCCTCTCCCCTCCCGCGGACACTTACCCAGAGCCTGCACTGCACGTGGCATAAATTAGGTGACTCCCTGTCTTGACAGCCTCGTTCTCCTTTTTCCTGTTGTCTTTCCCCTTGTTTTCTCACTGTCATCTCTCCATTCTGGCTGAAACGGCACATTGCTTGGTTTGTCCTAATAGGGAAGTTTTCTTGCCAGAGTAGGCAAGCATGAGGATATCATTATTTTTATATATTTTATATAGTGTATTTTTAGAATATTTAGAAATGAGTGGAGGAAGAAAGTGGGAAATGTGTGTAAAGGTTTGCAGAAGGCATCAAAAGAGAGCAATGCCTGGGCTCATGGTATCAGGTTGGGGTGGAGGCATTTTAATCATTGTTCTTCAAAAAAAAAAAACAAAAACAAAAAAAACGCCCCCACCCCTGCCCCTGGGCAGGTTATCGCAGTGAGAACTGTGATGACAGCATGGACTCCAGGCTGGACGGTCCGGGTCTGAATCCGGGTCCGAATCCGGGTCCGAATCCGGGTCCGTGTGAGTGCTTTGCCTGATCTCTCTGGATCTCAGCTTCCTTTTCTGTAAAACGGGTGTGAGTCGAGTCTCTGTCCCAGGGTTATGGTGGGGACTGGCTGAGTTAACACACGGTCAGTGCTGAGGACAGTCCCCAAACACGTTAGGCACTGCCAACTATTAGCCAGAGAAACAGCACAGGGGAGATTTTCCTTATTGCTAATTTGAAAAACTGAATTGCCAAGAAGAAAATTAGGACCTTGGTCCTAGCTTCCTGCACCAGCACCCACACAGGCAGGGGAACTCCGGATCCTGGGCATCACCTGCGGGGTCTCAGGAGTGCTTCGCTGTGCTTTGTAATGACTTAAGGTGGACGACCACAGTTTCTTTACCCAGTTGCCTATTTTTATGTATTTAGGCCAGTTTGAAAATTCAGTTTGCAAAGATACTTTGATGTTGAAATGACAGTCCCTGCCCCTCTGAATCAAAGCGCGCCTCTCCCTGGGCTCCCCTTGCAGTCAGTGCCGTCCAGTTTGAGCCCCACTGTGCCTCCATCTCTGAGTCTCAGTTCCCCCATCAGTCAGAGAGTGGGCATCATCATAGCATCTTCTCTCTTGGGATTGTGGGAAGAGTAAATGCGACCGTGTGCATGAGGTGCTCAGCACAGTGTCAGGTGCCTGCTGAGGACACACAGTAAATGCACGTCAACTCTCCTGTCCTCCTTTGTAAGACTTACTGCCTGGCGGTACAGTCGTCAGTTTATATGGCCGTTGTTCTCACAAAGCCGTCTTTACCACCGTCTCCTGGCTTCTGCACTTTTATTGCTCTGGTCCCTTGCACAGGGTCTGGCACATATTAGGTGCTCAGTAAAAGCTGGAAGCAAATGAAGGAGCAAATGGATAACATAATGAGGTGGACACCACCCCAGTCCAAATCACTTCTATCGTGAAAGTTGATGTTAAGTAAGTGTCAGACTTAAAAACAAACAAAGGAAAAGTTACCGCCCTTGGGTTATTGCACTGCGGTAGTTATCTAGGGCTGCTGTAGCAGACTGCCACAAAGTGGGCAGCTTAAAACAACAGAAGTTTATTCTCTCACAGTTCTGGAGGCCAGAAGTCTGAAGCCAAGGTGCTGCAGGATAGACTCCTTCCTCGCCTCTTCCCATCCTCTGGTAGTTGTCAGTCCTCAGCCGTCCTTGGCTTATAGCTGTGTCACTCTGGTCTCTGCCCCTGACCAGAGAGATGCCATCACCAGCCCTTCTCCCTGTGTGTCTGTGTCCAAATTTCCCTCCTAAAAGGACATCAGGTCTACTGAATTAGAGTCCACCCTCATGACCTCATCTCAAGCTGCTTACATCTGCCAAGACTCTATTTCCAAATAAAGTCACATTCACACGGGTACGAGGGGCGAGGATTCCATCGTACCTCTTGGTTTCACCTGATAACATGTACGTATATTTCTGACACTCCCGGGCTTGCATTTAGATTCTCAAAATTATGCACTAAGGGGGAGCTTTGGAGAGGATGGTTTGATTCCATGAGTCCTAAAGGGAAACAACTCCCCGTGACGTGGACAGAAGCTAGATTCAACTTGTAGGTGTGAAACTAGAGTATGGCAGGTGCGTCACAGTGCGCTCCCCATGGCTGGGTGCCGTGCGGGGCCCTGGGGTGGAAGCAGAGGTCAGAAGATGAGTCCTGCCTTAAGTGGGTTTCAGAGTCTTTGGAACTT